ACCCCACACCTATAACTGTAATAGTAAGCTATAATAGTCCCCGGTATTACAAAATGTGAAGCATTTCAAAAGGGAAAACCAGTGGCGTAATTTATACTTAGTCTACAATAATGAAAGAAAATGAAATAAGTCAAGCGTTTCCTTCTTTGGGCAATAATCCACCCTCAAGCAAAGTTCAACAATAGTGAATAGGAAAAAAATGGTTAATGTACAGATCAAACGAATATTTATGTATCTAGAGATCTAAGATCGTGAAAACATCTCGCTAATGAGTTGTATTAGAAACATATCGTATCGGTCAACCTATTCAGTTTGGATTAATTATAAAGTTGATGTGTCATTACATACACCATATACGGTAACAGTGGCCGGTCAATGAATTTAATGTTTCTAAGAATAGCTTAAAGGTCATTAAAAACAATGCGTATGCTACAATAGATTCACCATCTGACAGTGACGGTTACTGCCGATAACCTTCACTGTCAGATGGTGAATCTATTGTAAGCATAAACATTATTATATATAAAAGTGGAAATTTGTATATGTAAATTAAGCAATTTAAACACGTAAATACAATAATTAGCCAAATGAAGGTCAACAATTTGCACAACCCATAATGTATAAAAAGCTTTTAAAGGCTTCGGTGTGACAAAATGTCCAAAAAGTATAAGAAAAACAACAATCAACAATAATTATTATTGAAGACATTAACAAAAAGACAACAACGATTGTAGAAGTTTTATTGTTTTGAAAGGCACCTCAAGCATTATGATTTGAAAAATGTGGGTAAAAATATTTATTTTTCATTTGTTTTGATTCCATGGTAAATATAGTATTCTATCTAAACATCTTAAACTGTCATTTATGTAAATTTAACCGGAGAGAGTATTGGAACCTATATAACCAATTTGTAGTAAGCTCATTGTTTTAACCGAGTCAAAAATGTAAAACTAAATCAGATACAATCAAAAAATTAATTGTGTTTGAAAAATAAATTGTACAGTGTAAAACTGGGAAGACATAACTCTAAATTAGAAATCTTGGAATGTTATTTTTCTGTGAAGCAGGTCATGATACCAATTGGACATACTGCAAAAAGTAGATGATTGGACAGCTGGTAGAAATATTGTACTGTAGATCTATTTTATCTATCTAAGTAAATCTAGTCATGTAACAAAATGTTTTTCTTCTTCTGTTATTACATATTGGTTAGGTAGTTTCCTATAAATCCAGTATGTAAATTATCCACACTTTTCATCAAGTACAAAAGGAATGCCATATCGGCAAGAGAGAAATATTTTTTGTCATATTGACATTTGATATCAACACCAAGTTATAACGAAAACTAAAGATGAAGCTCGAACAATATTCCGATCAAAACACTTGATGTTTTTTTAGTTTTTTTGGAGACTGAAAATTGAGGTCATTTTTGAGAGAGTATAGATTTGGCCTTAGAATTATAAAAGAAGTCAGAACGAACTATATTCTTTGGTAAGCTTTGGACAACTTTAACATATGTGTTATAATAGTCTTAGATTAAGTTTAATAAGAAACGACGGGAAAATGTTGCTTCTGCATGTTCTGTAAATTTGTTCTATGAATTTGTTTAATCTGTCATAGCATATCATTATCCATCTGATAATAAGTAAAAGTTCAACTTTATCAAAATATCTCGGACATGTGTGTTATCAGTAGACGTGGATTTATATCTTTTGAATTTTTAACTCGATAGTTGAACAGTTGAAATGATACGCAGAGATAAAGAAGAAGAGGCTTACTTTGCTAAAAGAAATTAATACGTGAAAAAAACACAATGTGTGTCGATGCGATGAGTATATCTCAAACGGCAGCGAGTAACATATTTCATAATTCAGCTATATATAAACCGGTAAAGAAATCAATCTCGGTCAGTACCAAAATCTATGACAAACGAGACGATTTTAATTTCTGAATTATAAATTCCCACCACCTTAGCAGCAATATACATGTACCAACTTCACTTGTATATGGGATATACATTTCCCAACTCATTCGGTATTCAAGAGCTTGCAGTTGCAACTCAGACTTTATAAAACGTTACCAATGTCTGAGCAGAAATTTGATGAACCAGGGTTATGTCAAAGAACGTCTCGTTCTTTTTCTATAAAAGGTGATCGGAAGATACCAAAACCGTGTTGATAAATATTCCGTATCAACTTCACAATTAATACATGATGTTGTAATATAGATTCTAGGTACTGACGTTGTTTATCATCTTAATTACGTGTTACAGTGTTCCTTTTATTTGTCTTTGTATATTTTTAACCTTTACTGTTTAGTCCATTTTTGGTAATATACTTTTGGCGTGGCTCGGTATACATACATCCCGCCATTGTGTTATTGTGCTATGGTCATTTTTTGTATTGTTGTTTTTCATTTTTGCCTATGTACTGTGTCTATAGAGTGTCAAAATGCCATTTTGTTTTTCTTTGTTGAAATAGTTATTTGTTTTTATAGTGATTAAGATTATAACACAATATTGACTGTTGTACACCAATATTTGACAATTTTACCTATTATGTCTGTTTGTTTTGATCACTCATTGTTGTCATTATAATGGATTTCTATGTGACTGTCAAACAAGTGAGGGGTTTAGCTAGCTTTAAAACCAGGTTTAATCCACCATTTTCTACATAAGGAAATGCCTGTACCAAGTCAGGAATATGACAGTTATTTTCCATTCGTTTGGTGTGTTTGAGCTTTTGATTTTGCCATTTGATAAAGGACTTTCCGCTTTTAATTTTTCCTTGGAGTTCGGTATTTTTGCTATTTTACTTTTTATTATATTTGACTCGTTAAAAACAGAGAACACTATATATATGTGCGACGAAAAAAGAGGTGGGCGAGGGTTATATTCCAAAAAGATAACTGAAATAAGGGTTAATCCATGCATCAGTGTGGAAGGTAAATACAATCGATTGTTAATCAGAACACTTAATATCCACATACGAAGAAATGTTTAAACTGCTGAAATCTGACACTGACTTGTTTCCACTGGTTGTACTCAGAATGCTGATTTGCGATTTGTTCGGTATTGATTTCATTTTCCCCAAAAAATTCATTTAGTTTGTAAACATTATATTTTTTAATAAGTATTAATTATCTAGAACAAAGCATGATAGCCACATTTTTCCAAGATATTCTTGAACAATTTCAATAATTATCAAATTTGCAAAAAAAACACTCACACTTATCGTATTGGATTGGCACAACAACGTTATAAGACACGACGTCACTACGAACATCAATTACGTCACCGAAAAATTAAGAATTTACTCATGACACTCAAACGTTCATAGGATATTTATATTTAAGGACTATCAAGCTATAAATTTCAACACCTTGTAACTAAAAAACTAAAGGTTACATTATTTTTTTCTGCCGTGAATTTGTTAGCACTATTCCTATGTAATTTTTTAATCTATAGAGTAGTATATTACTACATTTCGCCTTAAATAAAAAAAAAGAAGAGCATTAGAAATCTACAAAACCTATGTTTTATAAGTACATTAAATAACCGGAATAAAAAGACAGATAAAAGTATTTTAGATGAAGTCATATATTGCATGTTTTGGACCACGCGATCACATTAAAAAATAGTTTACCGTCACAAAATAATAACGAATTTTAATAACACACCAAATTATTTTTCTATCAATCAAATAACTGCTTTTAAAATTATGTTTGTCCTTCTCCGACCGTTAAGTCAAAGGTAATAAATCGGAATTTTGATATATAATAATAAATAGTATACTACAATGAAGATACATAAACATAAGACATTTAAAGATCTACGCGTGGTCTTCAGCCAAAACTAAGTGTATATGCAATTTCTAAAGCTCTAAATATCCCATGGTATTCTTTTGATAATTAAAAAGGACAATACGAATTATCAAAAACATTTAACAGAACAATAGACGACACCTACCACCTACATCCGATACCTCTAGAAAAAAAGTCAAACAGTAAATAGCCAGTGGTTTACTTCATGATAATTAAAAAAAGGCAATATGAATTATTAAAAAAACTTGACAGTACTATTGACGACACTTACTACCTATATCGGGTTCTAATGGAAAAATGTAAAGACAAACAGCTGCAAACACATGGTCAAGATACTCTGACTTGGTAAATGAATAACATATGGTGCAATTTAACCGAATTAACGTAAGCAAACACTTCTCTACTATCCTATGTCGCTGGGCGTTAAGCAACCAACAACCAATCAATATACAATATATGTACATTGTCGGAAAATATAAAATTTATTTGTAGGAGCTTTAGAAACAGGACGAAAAGCGAGGCTCGCCGAGCTTTTCTCCTGTTTCGTAGCGAGTACAAATACATTTTATAATTCCGACAATGTACATATATTGTTTTTATCCTTCAATTTACACCCGGTACTCATTATTTGTTTAAATCCAAATGGTTGCCTCTGATTTTTGCAAAGAAATCGACATAGTTGAAACGCGGACCGCGAAGAGGACCAAAAATGAACTGTAACCCGGAAAGAAATATCTATATCACCACTTGCTCAACATGGAAGCGGGTGACAGGAGACTTTATTTGAACATGTACAAATAAATCAAACATTTATTTGTGTACCTATTATTTGTACAATAGTTAGCTGGTTGCAGGATAAATCAATCTATTTACCTGTTAGAACCATAAGCCATAAAAGTTAAAAGGAAAATACATTTTACAGAGCCTAACAAAATATATAATTAACACCATTCCAAAAAAGAAAATAGCTCTAAAGATGTACTAGCGCTATATTCATCATGATGGTGACATGTGGTTTGTGATTAACATATTAAATTAGACTGAAGTATCAATATTTTATCAATGTGAAGCCAGTATGCATACTTCCTGACCTTGACTTGATCAAACATAATAAGAAATTGTGCATGAAATATTTCTTAGATTTCTGATAAAATTTTCTGCTATGAAATAAACCTTACCTTTCCTTCAATTTAGATACATTTACATTTGTAGGCTCTTCTCATCACACCACTTCTCCTATTTATGAAGTTGTTTTAGAAAGTTAAAAAACGAACGAAGAAAAACTTCCTGAATGAAATCTATAATACTTGTCCTGGAGAGATTTTCATTGGCTCATATTTTAACAGAAAGATGGAAAGATACTTCCAATAAGTGTTTATCACTTGACATGTTTATATCTGCATTAAGGAAATACAATCAAGTAAAATAAAACTTGCAACTAACTTTGTTTTCTACTTTCTCAATATGAAGTGTTATTATCATATTTTTTGAACATATAAATCGTTTTATAGCTTAATTTTTGTGTTAAAAGTAAAATAAATCAATCTGGAGAAAACGTATATAGATAAACAGGATGAATATAACACTTTATAAATTCACTGCGTCCAAAGCACTTTTCTGTATTTACCTTCACCAGGAATATTCAAACCAAAACATTTGAAAACCAGAGAGGTTAATACTAACAACATTAGGAGCCAGACAGGTTAATACTAACAACATTAGGAGCCAGAGAGGTTAATACTAACAACATTAGGAGCCAGAGAGGTTAATACTAACAACATTAGGAGCCAGACAGGTTAATACTAACAACATTAGGAGCCAGACAGGTTAATATTAACAACATTAGGAGCCAGATTAACAACAAGGGTTATATCTTATAGCCAAATTTAGCTTAGGTCAACTTTCTCTAAGGGAGCTTGAACCTACTTTTTAAAATAATACATAAGTTTATGAAAGAGGATTCAAGAAAGTATGTTATAATTATAAAAACATACAAATTATATTGTTTTTATTATCTTTTGGTATTACTTACAAGGTAAAAATCTACGAAATCAAAGAAGGATTTCAACTTCTGATTGTACAATAGTTTGTCATAATTGAGTTCATTCAATTGTCGTAACTACAATCCCTTCCTCTTTTCTCCGAATGTGACCTATCGAATTATACTTATCATCGAGTCTGTACTTACATGAACAACATGACGGTTGTCAAATGTGTGCCAGGATCTGTTTACCCTTAAGGAGCACCTTACATCACCCTCAGATTTTGGCGGGTTTGTGTTGCTCAATCTTTAGTTTGCTATGTTGTGTTTACGTACTGTTCTTTGTCTCTTGGTCTTTTCTTTTTTAGCCATGGCGTTGTCAGTTTATTTTCGACTTATTAGTTTGAATGTCCCTTAGTTTGTTTCGCCTCTTTTTTTCAACAGGTCACTATTTTTGGTTATTTCTTTTTAATAATAAAAAAAATGTTAATATTGTTATAAAAGTTTATTTCTAAAAAACGTTCAATAGATTCACAATAGAAAAAAAAAGTATTAGCATAGAAACCAACATGACAACTCTGGAGTTTAAAGGCTGGTTTTTAGCTTTGATTGCATGATAAATTAACTGAAAATTTAATAGTATTTAATTTATATTTTTATATATATATATTGGCTTTTAGGTAGATGCTTCCCTATGGGACTGACAGAGGAACAATACCATTTAACATGTAAGTTCCTAAAAAAAAACTTTCATAACGTTCGCTCAAATACCTTTCACAATAATAAATTATTTAATTACTTAAAGTACAACACTATATACTGAATGTGTAGGGCAAAGTAGGTCTCTATTGCCAGTTGAAACTTTTCTACGCCGTAAAATACAATGATTGATTTACGCCACATCAGCACAAAAGGCTATATCGCGGCGAGACCGTAAAATACAGACATTTTACTCAAAGACAACATCTTCCTTTTTAATAAAATGGTCTTTCTAAGAATCTTGGAAAACAATATAGGCATTCGTTATAATTACTTTTTACAGTAAAACAATATTCTTAAATACACTTAAAGAACATGCAAGAAAATGTTTGAAGGCATGATATTATGTTTGATCATATTTGTGCCGTTTCGGCTATTGGTATTATTTTGGAAAGTACCAACCACTCTTTCTTCAGATAAATTTCTTAACTGTTATGAATTTCAAGGTTGAAAACAAGTCATATATTGTCTCCCTTTTTTTTCTTCGTTTAACATTTTTAACACTTTGGAGGTGGTGACAGATCTCTGATAGTTTCTTATTTAATGTAATCACGATTGTGATCGATGTACTTGAGACGATTGGTGGATTTAAATAATATAATGGTTCCTGCCTATACATGAATCCTTTTATATGTTGCCCTGTAAATGTTTGTGTTATTATTTTGTCGTATGGTAGTTGTCCAATCATATCGATTATGCTGGAAAGACCTTCATCTCTGCTTTTAATTCATAAGTTGTCCTTTATGTAAAACGAAAGCACGAAATTTTAAAACGGGACTAATTAGCTTTTAAAATGTGTGTATACAACAGTGTGCTATTTAAAAAGAAACTGGATGTTGATGTTTACCTTCATCTTGATTATGTCCATGTGTGTCGTTTGATTGCTGTATCACTAACGTGTTCCCTATAACAACATTTCAGTGTAGCTACATTCCCACAGCGCCTGTATATATTTTGAGTATTTAGCTCCCAGTTCATACAGTATTTCAGAGTTTGTGTTTCCTATTATAGTTTCCTTTGTAGAGGATTGCTCTTTACAAGTAAGCTATTGAACCAAATGTTCCAGATGTTAAAGTTGGAGACAGCCCTTCAAAAGTTTTACGCAACATTACGATTTGAATGACCACAGATATATCTTAACTGTCTTAAATTCAGAAAACGGAAGAAGCATTAACTGCATACCCTTCCGAATCACCATTAGTTAACCCCCCCCCCCCCTTTTCGGGTTTTATTCGACTTTAAAATCAGTTTACTTTACTACAATAAATGTATGTTTCCATCAAATCAACAATGATTAGAGAAAAAACTGAAAAAATAAATCATTTAATTAAAATGAAGTGATCGCACTTGAGCTTAATTCGATGATGGTTTTGTTTTCTTTAAAACTTGATTGACGACAAATGAAGCATCTCTCGGTCTTCCAGGTTAAGAAATATGACGCAATATAGCAATAATTGACAATTGTTGCACCTAATGACCACCTCTGACGCTTTTTTAGCTCATCTGGCCCAAAGGGCCAAGTGAGTTTTTCTCATCACTTGGCGTCCGTCGTCCGTCTTCGTCGTCGTCGTCCGTCGTCGTCCGTCGTCGTTAACTTTTACAAAAATCTTCTCCTCTGAAACTACTTGGCCAAATTAAACCAAACTTGGCCACAATCATCATTGGGGTATCTAGTTTAAAAAATGTGTCCTGTGACCCGGCGAACCAACCAAGATGGCCGACATGGCTAAAACAAGAACATACGGGTAAAATGTAGATTTTGGCTTATATTTCTGAAACAAAAGCATTTAAAGCAAATCTGACAGGGTAAAATTGTTTATCAGGTCAAGATCTATCTGCCCTGAAATTTTCAGATGAATCTGACAACCCGTTGTTGGGTTGCTGCCCCTGAATTGGTAATTTTAAGGAAATTTTGCCGTTTTTGGTTATTATCTTGAATATTATTATAGATAGAGATAAACTGTAAACAGCAATAATGTTTAGCAAAGTAAGATCTACAATTAAGTCAGCTTGACAAAAATGGTCAATTGACCCCTTAAGGAGTTATTGCCCTTTATAGTCAATTTTTAACAATTTTTCGTAAATTTTTGTAATCTTTTACAAAAATCTTCTCCTCTGAAACTACTAAGACAAATTTAACCAAACTTGTCCACAATCATCATTAGGGTATCTAGTTTAAAAAATGTGTCCGATGACCCCGCCCGCGAACCAAGATGGCCGACATGGCTAAAAAATAGTACATAGGGTAAAATGCAGTTTTTGGCTCATATCTCTGAAACCAAAGCATTTAGAGCAAATCTGACAGGAATAAAACTGTTTATCAGGTCAAGATCTATCTGCCCTGAAATTTTCAGACCAATCAGGCAAATCGTTGTTTGGTTGCTGCCCCTGAATTGGTAATTTTAAGGAAATTTTGCCGTTTTTGGTTATTATCTTGAATATTATTATAGATAGAGATAAACTGTAAACAGCAATAATGTTCAGCAAAGTAAGATATACAATTAAGTCAACTTGACAAAAATGGTCAATTGACCCCTTAAGGAGTTATTGCCCTTTATAGTCAATTTTTAACCATTTTTCGTAAATTTTTGTAATCTTTTACAAAAATCTTCTCCTCTGAAACTACTAAGACAAATTTGACCAAACTTGTCCACAATCATCATTAGGGTATAAAGTTTAAAAAATGTGTCCGATGACCCGGCCCGCGAACCAAGATGGCCGACATGGCTAAAAATAGAACATAGGGGTAAAATGTAGATTTTGGCTTACATCTCTGAAACCAAAGCATTAAGAGTAAATCTGACATGGGGTAAAACTGATTATCAGGTCAAGATCTATCCGCCCTGAAATATTCAGACCAATCAGGCAACACGTTGTTGGGTTGCTGCCCCTGAATTGGTAATTTTAAGAAACTTTTGCAGCTTTTGGTTATTATCTTGAATATTATTATAGATAGAGATCAACTGTAAACAGCAATAATGTACAGCAAAGTAAGGTCTACAAATAAGTCAACATGACCAAAATTGTCAATTGACCCCTTAAGGAGTTATTGCCCTTTATTTTTTTACAATTTTTTCATAAATTTTGTAAATTTTTGTAAATTTTTTACAAAATATTTTCCACTGTAACTACTGGGCCAAGTTCATTATAGATAGAGATAATTGTAAGCAGCAAGAATGTTCAGTAAAGTAAGATCTACAAACACATCACCATCACCAAAACACAATTTTGTTATGAATCCATCTTTGTCCTTTTTTTAATATGCACATATACCAAGGTGAGCGACACAGGCTCTTTAGAGCCTCTAGTATCTTATCTTTATGGGAATCAATTTGCCTCAGGAGCAGGCAATAGCTCATTTGCATATAAATAAAAGACGAAAGATACCAAAGGGACATTCAAACTCATTAGTCGAAAAAAAACTATCAACGCCATTGCCCAAAAAGAAAAAAAAAACAGACAAACAAAAGTACACAAACACAACATAGTAAACTAAGGATTGAGCAACACGAACCTCACCAAAAACTGACAGTGATCCCAGGTGCTCGGCAAGGGTAAGCAGATCTTGCATATTTTTGCAAATATACAGAAATTATACATTTTTTAAAACTAATTCACCATAGTAAGAGTCAATATAGAGAGTGGTAGAAATCAAATTTTCCACTTTTAGCTCCAATTTGGAAATATGTCATCTGTAGAGAATTGTTTATCAATGCCTACAGATACACTGGTTTGCCTAAAACACTTATGAATTTATTTTTATTTTTGTTAAGTCATAAAACATTCTGATAATTCGGAAATTTAAGTTCGTATTCTGTGTTAAATCTTGTAACTGTTTGAACTAACAACTCGTATGAGGCCCTCCAACGTCAATTTGATATAAGACCTACTATAAAAAAGTAAACGTAATACATGTTATATGTATAAACAAATCTGTTACAACATGGTTTGATTTTCAGTTGAATTTGAAGTATAATGGGGAGAAAGTTTGTCGTCTTGCTTTGGCAAAGATTTAGCATATACTGTGCTGTTTGCTGGTCCCCAGTTAGGAGCTGGTTTTGATCGTTGTTTGATTCTCTAACAAAATTAAAAATTAAATGTGTACATGTAATTATTTATGATAAATACAACGTATGTTAGCAAATACCTGCAAATTTAAACATCACTACACAACATCTGAAAGACACCAACTGAATGTTTGTATGATCAAATTCTTAAAAAACATTTTATTAAATATCATTTGACTAGACTTTCATAGAGTTGTTTTATTATTCAAGACATACTTTAAAGAATGTTTCAAAAATGACCACCTCAAGTTCTTAAGCTTTAATTTAATACCAAAATAAATTTCCCAAATATTGTTTTTATAAACAATGTTAATGTACAATATTATTGTTTGTTCTTTATGACCGGGCCTGGATGATTGGTTCTATATACCTTTATGCAAATAAGGCTATCTAAGTTATCTCCCCTTATATAAACTTTGAATCATATGAAAAAATATATCTGTATTTTTTTATAAACAATAATAATAATTGGATAAAACACAACAGGTTTAGATGAAAATTCTAATAAATAAATTACATATATATCTCAAAATTTGTATATTTTATAATAGATCTAGACCGATTGTATTTTGTCATTTTACAATTCAAGATTGCGAAAGACGCCAACATACCTTTAATGTATTTATATTCAACTGGATTACCTTAATAGAAAATTATCTGTGTCTGGCAACTACTTAATAGATTCAAGGCAACAGTACGATATCACCTCCACACAGAACAAAATTACCGTTGCTTAGATTATATAAATTTAAAAAAAAGTAATACGAAAACGAAGGTAATGTCGTAATACTTTTATTCACATAAGTTGTCCGAACTATCTGGCATACATATCAACATTCCTTAAAAAAAGCTGTAGATATTGTTTGATATCTATCAAAGTTCCGTATAACCGCAACCAATCTCATTCATTCGAGAATGCAAAACTCAATTGGTGATTTATTTTCACACAGACTGTAAATATAACAAAAGAACGATTATTTCTGAATTATCCAAAGAATATAGACCAACACTTGAACATACCAGAGAGCGTGGATGACTAGACTATTGCAAACTTCCGAAACCCAATTAGAAGAATTCATTAATAAACAATCGGGATTACCTGCTATATTGTGCCATTTGCGTTCCACAGGTCAATAACCATGTAAATTGGAATAGGTATTACTGATAACATCCCGATAATCCACCCTACCGCTATCGCCCATTGTGGATATTGATATGTACCATATGACACTGGTGTTATCTGTGTCATGTTAAATACAAGCATCGTCTGAAAGGTTGATTGATTGGTTAAAATTATAAAACTGCAAATTCTATTTCTATTTGATTTTTGACTTACTTCATTTTTTGTTTTATTTTCGTAAGTACCTCAATATTGTGCCAAACAAATATCATTTAAAAAGATGATAAGTATTCAACTACACAGAACGGAAATATAATGAAATAAACAACATATTGTGTTTTTATTTTTTGTTCAACAGTTAATACACACTGTCAGATAAACAAAGCAAAAACAAACAAAAATCAAACCATTTCATATTTTAAGATCATTTTTGGTTATTAGTCCCCTATCGGAATAGCAGAAGGGGACTGAAGGTTTGTACTCCTTCTGTTCGTCCATTCATCAGGCGGGCAAATCAGTTTTTCGATACTCTTATCTTTGCGCCAGAAGATATTGTGTTTATATAGGGTAAATATTTTTATCACGACATGTTACAGATCAACTTTGATTTTTTTTTCAGGTCTGATGATTTTGTGCAGAGTAATGGTCGTTTTTTTTCCAGTACATATAATTTTTAACTGATAAGGGACTATGTATTGCCATGCAACCCTCTCAGAATGCTTGTTAAATTTAATATAAGAAATCGAGATATGCTCTCGTCCGATTGTAATTTAACTGACCGTGGTATATCGTATCGGTTAACCAATCGGTGATAGAAGTTTTTCCTTAAGGAGCCTACACTGCTAAGTATAGTGTTTACATACAGGCGCGTAACGTTCCTATTGATATATGTAAAAGGCATATGATTGAACAGAGAGTATATAAAGGTTTAGACATGGGAAATTGGCTATTCGAACGTTGCAATCACATTTGTGAATAACAAACTGGACTACGTAAACAGAAACTACATTTACATATCATTGGAATTATTAAGTTCTTTTAATTTGATTGGTTCTAAAATGGAAGGCAACATACCGCTACAGTTACAGGTGTTATGAATTTCCAATATATACTCCACCAAATACAAGGCTTTCGTCCTATCATTAGTTCAATATCTTCGTAAAGTCTGTTGGCGCCTTCAATGCAAAGATACAAGTGTAATTTGTTATTTGTGCAGTTATGTGCGTATACATATGTACCCCTATTTTTGACATTTTTACTTATTATGTCTGTTTGTTTTGTTCACACATCGTTGTCAATATAATGGAATTTTATGCGACTGTAATACACGTGAGAGGTTTAGCTAGCAATAAAACCAGGTTTAGTCCACCATTGTCTACATAAGAAAATGTCTATACCAAGTCAGGAATATGACAGTTGTTGTCAATACGTTTGAAGTGTTTGAGCTTTTGATTTTGCCATTTGCTTATGGACTTTCCGTTAAGAATTTTCCTCGGAGTTCAGTATTTTTTGTTATTTTACTTTTTTTGCGTATTTTTCACTTAGTGGTACATATATTTAGGGAAAAGTAGTTTTCCAATGTTCAATTTAATAGACTTATTAAAAAGATATTGCATACAAAATCTGAGGAAATCCAAAATACTTCAAAAGGAGAGCGACCAAGTGAATCGACAGGGTAAATGTCTCCTGCACGATATTCATTACTTTATCCACCATTTTAACTGTTGGTTTGGAATTTGCAAATTATCTAGAAATAACTACATATCAATACTCGTTACTTGATAACTTTTAATTTGCTCACGGATTTTGATATGTATCTCCATGATATTTTCAGTCGACATTGCATATCTGGCAATAATGGCATCATAATGTATGATCAAAGATATATATACATATCTTAATATTATAAGATTATAATACCAATATTTCGCTCTTTTAAATCAAAATCAAGTATATAAAATTGAGAATGGAAATGGGGAATGTGTTAAAGAGACAACAACCCGACCAAAGAGCACATTCTTGTTTACCGTTTTTAATGGTATTAAGAATAACTGTATAGCAGTATTTTCTGACACATTTCTACTGTGTATTACATTTTGTTGTATCAGCAAATATATGTTGAATATAATGGCATACATTTTGAGCTGTATTTGTTGATAATTTTTTTACTCTTATGGAGTTCAGATTTCTCTCGAACCTACATTTGGTATACTGAACTATATATATTTGCTATTTTATTTTAAAACTGTAAAACTCGTGTTGCTGAATACCAGTTTATGTTCTGATGAAAAATTTATCAACACTTTTAAATGTATTAAAAGACAAAATGTAACTCTTATTTTTATCAAAGTTTTTTTTTTTAATAATCTTTAACTTGTTTTGTGTAATGAATATCCTTCTTCAGTGACATACATTTATTCTAACTGAAAAAACTAAATTTATATATCAAAAGGACAAAAACTGGTATTCGTAAAACCGCGAGTTCTCATAGCTTGTTTATTCACCATAAATCCATCCAATTGTGATGTTTTCCAAAATACAGACTAACATCACAGAAAATAAAGCACAGTATCAATCAACTATTTGCAGAGCATAAATTCCTCCCTATGAATAAAGAAATTATTAGCACAAGGGAAAAGTTAAAGGGGGAACATTATTGTCTTTTTTAACTTTGGATTGCTATGTAAGGGTTATAATTATCGCCATATTCCCATCCTCTGCAAACAATTACAGGAAACCAGTCTAGACGGGTAGTTTGTTTGCTGCTGAAGTCGCTTAAGGTTTTTGCGTTGAGACTTGAAATATTCTTACATGACGAAATGATATATTAATCGTAGTTGATAGGGGAAACAATTATCACAGATTGTTTTTAATTATACGTCTTTAACAAGACTGTTGTATCTATAACGTTCTTCCAATTTATATTAGTATGCCGAACGTCCATGTAAGTTTTAATTAACCCACCATTTTTTTCTTAAAATGTCCTGTACCCAAGTCAGGAATATGACAGTTGTAATCAAATCGCCCGTTTCTATGCATGTTGGCGTTTGTTTTTGTTGCATTTCAGTGTTTCTGTTGTTCCGTTGTTATCCTCTAATAGTTGATGTGTTTCCTTCGGTTTTAGTTGGTAACCCGGATTTGTTTTATCTCAATCGATTAATGACTTTTTAAACAGCGATATACTACTGTTGCCTTTATTTACCAATTTTCACTTTTATTTTCGATCGGTAAGACTTGGCAGATATTTACCATAATAGTTTTATCTTGTTAATGGTTTCATTCTGATTGTAAAACTGGTTTTTATCTCCATATAGAGATCACATATCCGCGAAGGGGATATTTTTACGATTTGATATTGATTGCCAAATTTTCTGTTTAAGACATAATTACATTTACCTTCGATAGTATGCATCGATAAAACGAAATACTATTAATAATATGAAATACAATAATGCATCGCTGAGTGCATCTCAGTCAATATGTAAAAGAGAAAAAAATCAAAAACTCTCAAAAAATGTAAATTGATGTACGTTTGCATTTTATTTTTACAGTCATTATACAAATGAATTCATGTAAAGCACATGGTATATCGATCCGGAATGTGCGAACAGGAATGATATATAAAAATTGAAGTATTTTTTTATGAATAAAAATAGAAAAGTATCAATAAAAGACCCAAAGACGAAGCTCCATACAATATGTCTATCTTATTCGTATTTACCTGCATAACAAATGGAATTCCAAGTATAAACTCGATTATGCAAATTGCCCCTGTTAACAACACCTTTCTTCTCCTAAATAATTTAGGAAATTCATCTGTCAACGCACTCAAAACAGTCTCCATCGTTCCAAACTAAAGCAAACAGAAAATAATTAAAATGAAAACAAGTCATATTTATTCGTAAGTTTTGATACTTATCTTTCTTTGGATTAAAACTAAAAATATATAGGTACTTAATCAAATCAACGTACCATATATGCAATCTTATATTTAGAAATACTCTTTTTAAATAAAAGTTAATCAATGGTACCGGTTTAAATTTTTACAATACACAAGGTTTGTCAAAATAAGACTTACTAGTGGTACTCGAATTGAAAATGTTAAAAGGTAAAATCAAAACGAACTTTTAACAAAATATTTGGAACGTAAGGCTACGTTTTGTTAAAGCCGTCGATACCGGTGGTAGGACAGATAAACATTGGTCTTTCGAATTAATTAAACTTTTATAAACATGATAAAAGACATGAAAATACAAAAGAAATAAGGATCTCTGGTATAATGATAAATATAGATTTTGTTTTTAAATTTTTAACTGTGAGATCATATGAAAAAAGTAATAATTAGATTGGAAATATGACTCAGAGCGAACGGCTCTATTTTACATTGTTTTATGTGTGTCTTGATTATCTGTGTTTTAATTTTTTTCATTTATAATTTTTATTTTTATATTTATTTTTATATTTTTGGGGTGGGGTAGGGGGTGGGTATTACCGATTTTTATTTAATTCAATAGACTCAATTACTTAACTGTCAATAATTCATCAAGTGTATCCAATTTGAAATATAAGGTAATTAAAAAGGGTTGCTGCTATAGCTAGTTTTGATTTGCTAATTACTCTAACGAGGCATTGAAAAAAGCATTTGCTCATGGAACATCAAAAATATTAATCTTATAATTTTTTTTAATGTTTTTAAAGATTCATCTGCAGGGACAGTCTTACAAGAACATATTATATTTGAAAAAAAACTCTTACCTGTGTATCAATACCTATTGTAAATAGCATTAGGAAAAACAGAATAGCCCAAAATGGTGATATTGGGAATCTTGAAATAGCTTCAGGATATGTTATAAATACCAAACCTGGTCCTGCAAAAAAGAAAAACAACCTGCAAAGTCCTACTATAAATGTAAATAAGCAAGCGGTTACTGCCAGACATTTTTGAACAGATACAATGTTTGAAAATACTAAACTGAATTAAAAAAAAATACAAATAAAATTATATTACATCGTGTAAATATACGATTCAAATGATAAGTTGAGATGGTATGAAAGTTATAACTGATGTGTAACCATAATGCGCCGGTAATAACAAGTGTAATTTATGTATTGTACTACTCCCAACGAAAAACTAGCTTTCGAAGAAATAAAAAATAATCTTTATCCAATGAGTTATTTGTCAAATGAGAGCGGGGACTATTTTTTTTTTCTAGACAAGGTTTCTATAAAAATTACTTATGATAAAAACTGAAGTTCAGCAGCATTCAAACCAAACAGTGCAAAACGTTTCAAATCCAGCTAAAGACAACTATGCTTGAAGATAGAAAAACCTTAGAATTTTGATATATTCGACATTATATAACAAGCGATTTACAAAAAAGGTCGCCGTGAACACGTGATGAGCTTTATGACTTATTTGCTTTATTATCAACGCAGAATTTACGAAAGGTATGCTAAAAAGCATGGTTGTGTTTACGCATTATTGATAAGAGTGAGAAGACACCACATAAACATATCATAGATACCAGGAATACAACTTTGAACGTGTTTCGTCTACAAAAGACTCATTAGTGACAGTCGAATCAAAAATGAAAAGGCCAAATGAAATTTTAGGTCAAAGAGCTTGGGACTTGTAAGCTTAAAAATAGAGAGAAACAAAGAGGAAAAAACATATGTCAAGTAATCTGCTTTCCCAGTGCTTTGTTATCATATTGGGTTTCTTTTTCTTTCTAATAACAAGCCAATTACACAATGGAACAAAATGATATTTTCCTGCTTTTTATAATTTTACTTAGTAGTAGTCATAGCAGTAGTTGCATCGGTACAATGGATACCTTGATTTCTGGTTGGTTACACAGAACATGATATCTTACAAATGTACATTTACCAAAGTAGGTCGATTTATAAAACAACAAACTAATGAATTATTAAGTGAGGGATTTCGTTACCACACATAACTTAAACCTTTACTAAATTCTTTCATAGTTACAAAGATTTGATCTGCAAGTTTGGTTGTACATGTAGAAAACTTATTTCAAACGGATTAGCACATCCTAAATTTTATGGTAATGTTGTAAACCGATCCCGGAAATTTAGATACGATTCGGTAAACTTATCAATCCTTTATAAGTATCCTGTCTTAGGAATAAAGGAACAAGTCGGCAAGATGTGGGGCACAGTTGGTTTCCATGGAAATGCCGATATTTTGTTGTAAAACACGTCCTCCAAACGTAACAAATATGTTGTCAATCAAGAAATCAGGCATTCTGATAATGTCAGTTTCAGATACTTTTTTATTGGAATCAGAGTGAGTTTTTACAAAGAAGGATTTATCTCTCCCTACAATAAGAGACTTTTACCTACGCTGGCTATTCTTTTTAAAGAAACAAAGCAATACCAACTCTTTCATTTTAGTTTTGAATGTTATAAATTAGGCCGTTAGTTTTCTCAATCAATTGTTTCATATTTTTCATATCGTGGCCTTTTATAGCCGATCACACGTTTTTGGGATTTTTCTCATTGTTGAAGACCGTACGGTTTCCTATAATTGCTCACATCCACTTCATTGGAACTTTGGTGGATAGTTGTCTCATTGGCAATCATACCACATCTCCGGATTTTTATAAAGAGTTCTTCATGATTCCTATTCACTTAAAGTGTCTGAACAAGGATGTGTACTTTTAGTTATTTCCACAGAGATGTAAATAAAATACCTTGATTAAGTACTTTGTCAACTGTTGTTCCTTTGTTCAATGCCATAAAACCAAGAATTGAAAAGGTAATAAAACCAGCAAATATACTTGTTCCACAGTTCACTGCTGGTACAATCATTGCATTCCTGGATATATTGATTTAAAAGATTGTAAGATTTACAGATTTTATCATTTCAAACATAACGATTATTAATTTGCATCTGCGGTTCCAGGTTCAATCAAAGAGCTGAAAGCTCTGAGGAAAAATGACGCCACTGTCTCTAATATTGTGATATTTTTTATGCAAGTCTTGATTTTCACATACCGTAATAAGTTTAACATTGCAACATGTCTCGTAAGCATATAATTGATATTCGTATATGTGTCTGTTTTTTCAAGACTACCTGAATGATCTACAGTATCCAATTACTACTGGCTGTTTTTTTTTGTATAAATAAATAGGTCAAGACTACTGGAATGATCTACAACATCCAATGACTACTGGCTGTTCTTTTGTACTAATAAAAAGGTCAAGACTATTTGAATGATCTACAATATCCAATGACTACTGGCTGTTCTTTTGTACATATAAATAAAGACTACCTGAATGATCTAAATTATTCTAAGTAATGTGATTTTTTTCTTGCAATTACATTTTTCTAAATCAAGAATATAGACTACTAGTATCCTTTTCAAACCAAATGATTATGAAGAGTCTGTTGTTAGGAAGCTCTTATACCCCACATACTCATTAAATAAGTTACTAGTGACCTAGTTATTTCTGTTACTTGAAGCAAATTATATTTCTGTATATTTAGACAATAGTATAATATTGTTTTACTAGTTTTATTTCACCTTGAAGATTAGACAAATAGGGATACTCCTTTGATTTTTTATTTCATGTCAGTCAGGTCGCTTTATATGAAACTTGAAACCACTTCTCTGCCATATTGTTATTCTATAACAACTCTGCCCTTGACCATGTTGACCCATGTAATTGATATTCATTCTTTAACCATATATCATAGTCAGTTAGTTTTTGATTTTGCACTCCCACACCACCTTTCATGTCTTTCAGGTCAAATGTCTGTCTCCATTTAAGTTAATGACATTGAACAATCATGGTATTAAACACAATTTCAATAGTGATAATGCTGTTCTCGTGGGTCACCATATATTCAACTTGGGTAGCATTCCAGTTATTGAAATTTGTGTCAGATTAGAACAATGATCTAGATCTTTAGGAATGGATCTTATAATTTAATATGGAGCCATAGTATGGGACCCCTACACGGTAACAAAAAAAAACAAGCTTGAAAGGATACAATGTCAAACGGCAAAATCTATCACCAGAGATTACAAGTCAAAAGAGGATGGACGGGATACGTCTCTAAAATGCTTGCTGAACTGGAACTACAGCAAGATCTCCAGACAAGACGAACAAAGCGTTGAAGCCAGAAGTTAATACTTATGTAAAAAGTAGTTGAGGGGCTGATTCCCGCTATTGAACCATACTGTCATTCTATAATATCATTGCGTAAGTATTTCTGTATTGGCCTTGTTATTGGTCCATGTCTTAGGTGTATTGGTCTGAGGCGAAGTGGAAGGCCAATTCTGCTGGCCGAGGACCAATAATAAGGCCAATACAGAAATACACGTAATAGTATCTTTATTAATTAACTACAGTGTTACAATATTTTTTTTATTTCATTTCACAAGAGATAAACATTTTTACCTTGAAGTGGAACTATCCAAATCTCAGTTTCCTTTTATAAGATGCAATATCTAATGATTCGTTGCCGTTTGACTGCTGGCCGAGAACCAATAATAAGGCCAATACAGAAATACACGTAATAGTATCTTTATTAATTAACTACAGTGTTACAATATTTTTTAATTTAATTTCACAAGAGATAAACATTTTTACCTTGAAGTGGGACTATCCAAATCTCAGTTTCTTTTTATAAGATGCAATATCTAATGATTCGGTGCCGTTTGAAGTATCTTCAGCCTTTTCCCATCTGATGAATTTTTCTACTCTTTCCAGTCACTATAAAGTGTTACAACTTTAATTTAGACACAACACATAAATAGTAATTGGAAAGGTACTGCCATTGCATGTGTAATGCAAATATATTTTTAAAAAAATAATGTAAGAGTTGAAATTGATACAACTATCCATAAGCCAACTGACCAAAGAACGAAGATTTGCACAATTACAGAATGCATATGCCTGGTTCGGGTTTAAAAATAAACGACCGTTTAAATACAAAACATGAGAAGCGACAGTAAACAGTAAAAATCGATTTGTACCATCGACATGATGAAATTATGAGGTCGTCAAGAAATGAGCTTTGTGATAATTTACTCGTTCCCCAAACCTGAAATAATCCCATCGTCTACTTTCAAAATGCTGTTTAAATGAATGGGACCGTCTTTAACCTAAAATATATGCCATACTGAACGTTTCAGCTTGTTTATGGTGAGTAAACCTGCGTCTTACAAACAACTGTTTACTTTCAGTTTGAGTTTATCGTGACTTACGATCTAAAAACTAGAGACGTTCCGAAATCCTGTTTTGTAAACAAAGATTCATACGCACCGCGTGGGTATATCCGTATAACTAATTTCCGATTTTTAAAATCTTCGTAAATCTGGAAAAAGACCAGTTTCTATCCAATGGATATCAAAATGATTCCGATTTTCACTTTTTTTAATGATTGTAAAGTTGAAATGGCATGAAAGGCTGACATTATTTAGGAGAACTATTTTGTCTAGCGATTGCTGATCATTGGAGGGTAAAAAGTCCAACACCATAACAAAACGGATCTATTTATCATGTATACATACCGATTGTTTACGATTGTAAGACATGTGCATAAAAGTGAAAGCTCGAATAAATATGAAAAATATAACAAAGGGATAGCTCCAAATACCATTTAATAACAAAAAACATATGGACAGGTCAAGATATCTTTTTGGTAAATAAAATAAAGTATGTAAATTGGTTCCCGTCCGACTACAACACTTTGTTCGAGTGTAGCGTAATACAAGCAGATTCCAGTTAGTATGTAAAATAGTAAATATGAAACCGAGTGCGGTAGGCGGAGGCAATAATCGACTTCCGTAAGTTCTGGTCAATGGTATCGGAAACATGCCGCTGATAGCGTCATTTTCCAAAAATTGCACATGTTATTTCAAAACTTTTGTAGTTTTTATTTTAATTGAAAATAGTAATAAAGCAGATTGCAAAAAGATAATTTAAGTGACAGGACGATACAAAATGAAAACAAGACGTCTAAATTTAATGCGTCGGAAGCGCTTCACTGGATTAACCTTCATCAGGAACGCTCAAAGCCGAATAATTGAAAGCCAAGGATGTATAAAACCGAAACAGTTGAAGAGCTCTATAATAAAAAATGACATAAAATAATAGCCAAAATCCTTCTTAGGCCAACTTTGCCTGAGGGAGTTGAAACGTTGGTTTCTTTATAATTTCAAGTTACGGTAGGTAATATGTCGAAATTCTCATGTTTTCGTTAAGCTTCTGTCTGAATATTAATAGACCATTTGAAATTCATATAGAGGCAAATTATCAATATTCATAAGAAGAAGCAAATCTGAAAGCTAACCCTTTAGCCTCGCCTATTTCATATTGCAATAATCATAAAATTGAAATGAAAAGGTGGAAATAAAAGTGCTGATGTCGTTTCTAAAATGGAGTAGGCTTAAATAGCCTCGCACTTATATCCCGTTATATAACAATCCTGTGTTGGTTATGTATATTTTGTGAGGGTTTTGTTCTGTACATAGTTGTCCTTTTATCGACCATGTATATATTATGCGTTCAATAGTTGTTCCATTGCGTTTTACATTTTTTTCAATGCATTTACGGATTTGTGTCATGAATGGATACCCCATATCCTTCCTATTCTCTTTCAAAATATATAATTAAAGGACAAGTAGGGAGTCATCACCAACTTAAGGTCACTGGTGTATGGCTTGCTAAAAATAAACGGAAGCAGTCATTAAAAAATATAGCAAATACAAAACATACTGCTATCACGTTAACTCACCTGTACATATTATCGTGAAACTTATTATAACTTGCAAACGTCAATAGTCCATCCCATACCATTGAAGTGGAGAAAAATATCTGCAATGCAGCCTCACCCCACACCTAGAACAAATAGCAAACACAAAAGCCATGTTATACGCATTGAATTACAATTGAAATACGCATTGAATAACAATTGTAATAAGTACAAAATTAAATTTAATGTAGTTAAATCATTATTTTGTATGCATGTTCAGGTAATTTCAGTGAACATCGATGTGTTTAGTGCAAGGTTTATTTAACATCTTTTTGTCGCTATAAAGGACAGATATCTATTACTGTTTTTAAATGAGGGAATTAATTGAACTTAAGACTTAAAATTAGTATTTTTGAAAACTTAGCAAAGTGATGATTGTGAAGTGGGAGTAACTGTTGATAACAGAGTATTCTAGATACAGCTGTATGTATTTATTTCCCTCCGGGTTTTTGGAAGGGTTGGTATCGCTCGGTCTGTAGTTTTCTATGTTGCGTTTGTATACTGTTGTTTGTCTTTTGGTCATTCTTCGTTTAGTATCAAGGCCCAGTCAGTTTATTTTCGACTTTTGAGTTTGAATGTCCCTTTAGTATCTTTTGCCGTTCTTTCACTTTCACTTAGCAATATTGTTATACTTAATTTAACCTTAACAACGTGTAGCTTACAGTATTTTTCAAAATTACATTTTGCCCCACATGTTTTCCTCTTAATCGCTGATTTGGCGAAAAGCCCAACAACTCCCAACCCATTAGATATTAAGTATGTTTCTTTAAACCAAAGTATTCAACAGTGTGTGTGGGGTTTTTACAAAAGATTCCACAACAACAACAAAAAATGTAATGAAATTAACCTTAAATGAGCATGTATACCTTTGTAGACAATAGTTTGTCCCATTGAGGAACGACATAAAACAGTATTCCATCCGTTGCACCAGGGAGTGTTACTACTCTGATGAAAAAGATTAACAATACAACATATGGAAATATTGCTGTCACGTATACGACCTGTAATGAAGCAAATAATATTGTGTTTTAGTAAGAACTCACAATTAAAAATACGCATATATATAATACTTTATAACAAGCAATGTCCATCTTCTTTTTAGATTTGGTATCTTCTATCTTATGACGTTTGTACAATTTGTGTCAGGCGTTTCATTTTATGAATTTAACAAAATCTACTTCATTTCAGAAATTCATAAATTACGAGAACTTGTGTTTCGGAGAACTTTGGTTGGTTACGACGCAAAGGGGACGGAAGTTGACCTTTCTCTTAATTTGTAAATGCAACGGTTGAAGTTTTGTTATACATAATTTATATTTAAAACATTTCAGAAAATCAATGTAACACACTTCCATAAATATAATCACCTGCTCTTGGTGTAAATATCACTTAGAGTCAGAACAAAAGAAAAAGAAAGTCCTAGTGTCGAGCAGAAAAGATTTAAACAAAAGCAAAAAAGAATTAACTGAGTTAGCAATAGACATCAGAATACGCAATGTTTTCATTCTGTGTGTACAAACAGCTGTTAACATCCACCAATATAGTTACAAGATATTTTGCGTCATTATCGCTTTTCAATCACAGTTTAAGGAGGTTAATTGTAAAACAATTGTTCGACACACTGGGCATAGACTGTACAGCCACAACTGCTTTTTGCAGAGCATGTTTAAGCTAGGTGATAATATAATTATAAAAGAAACAATTTATAAACTAAAAATATGATGCATCATAATTTCACCCCTCATATTCCCAAATAGTAAGCTTATTCAATCGTTTCATAATTATGTTAATTCTATTTATAAATGATTAAGAACATTGTAAATCACAAATTCAGTTGACCTTGTTGTAAAAAGCATGTTGTAATTGGCGTCTCTGACATAAAAGGACCGTAACACACATTTAATTTGCACTCAAAATTAGTTTGATGACCCAATGCTTTACCAGAAACTATAGTTTAATCGCATTAACGTTCAGTTGTTGTCTACGATAATGTGTAGCAAAATGTCGTTTTGGTAAATTCTTTGCTATAATGTTACTAGATTTTGTAATTTTACATGAAACGCATGAAGTTTAAAGCCGTAGATTGAATATGTTAGAAAAAATAAAACTACATCTGACCGATTTATGGCTCGATACCTTTTGCATTGTTGACGAAATTGTGCTCATCAATGGTAATATACCCTTAAGTGTAATTTGATATATATATATATATGCAACGCAATCATAGGTTTGAACGTTGTTTTCAATTTAGACTTATTTATATTTTTTCGTTTGGGCTTGTATTATATTTGCCTTCGGGTTTATATGATCCGTTCATCCTATTTTGACTCCTCAAAATTTAAGAGTCTATCCTAAATTGAGGTAAATTGTATGGCTTTCCAAATACCGTTTCGATTCCTAACATCACTGAAGAGACATTAATTGTCGAAATCCGGATATGGTGTACAAAAACCTTTGCACCTTTTGTTTGCGGTATACTATCGTTTCCGCAAGTTCATTGTTTTCTGATTAGTATTAAATTTATAATTAAGATCCATTTATTACATCGGTGATCCGTTTATTTGGCAATCGCCAATGGCAGTCAGCAGGGTTTAAGAACATTTGTTGTTCGACCTGTTAGTCAAATGCGTTTTGTTAAAATATACTTTTTCACTTTTTTGGTCTTTTGGAAAATGTTGTTTGTGCTGTATTTAGACCCCTCTAACAAGAAATTTGTTTTGCATGCACACGTATAAAAATTGCGGTTTTTATCCAACGCAATCATAGGTTTGAACGTTGTTTTCAATTTAGACTTATTTATATTTTTTCGTTTGGGCTTGTATTATATTTGCCTTCGGGTTTATATGATCCGTTCATCCTATTTTGACTCCTCAAAATTTAAGAGTCTATCCTTAATTGAGGTAAATTGTATGGCTTTCCAAATACCGTTTCGATTCCTAACATCACTGAAGAGACATTAATTGTCGAAATCCGGATATGGTGTTCAAAAACCTTTGCACCTTTTGTTTGCGGTATACTATCGTTTCCGCAAGTTCATTGTTTTCTGATTAGTATTAAATTTATAATTAAGATCCATTTATTACATCGGTGATCCGTTTATTTGGCAATTGCCAATGGCAGTCAGCAGGGTTTAAGAACATTTGTTGTTCGACCTGTTAGTCAAATGCGTTTTGTTAAAATATACTTTTTCACTTTTTTGGTCTTTTGGAAAATGTTGTTTGTGCTGTATATAGACCCCTCTAACAAGAAATTTGTTTTGCATGCACACGTATAAAAATTGCGGTTTTTATCCAACGCAATCATAGGTTTGAACGTTGTTTTCAATTTAGACTTATATATATATATATATATACAAAGATAAAAAAAAAAATGCATGTATTCCAGAAAAAAATGGAGTTGTTAAATTTCCTCAATCAAAGTCAAACTTGCATAGTTTTTACCTATGCTGGTTTTGTTTTCCATGTCAACCATACAAATTAAGAACTGCACATTTATTGCTACGAAATGGGTGACGAATACTCACAAGTTTTATTTACTTTACAAGTAATTTGTAGCAAGAACTTCGGTACTAGCATGAACATACGGATGTTGTGCTATTGGAATTTGGTGTAACAAATTTGGTTTATTATTTTAAATTTAAGGATTATTTTCCCCATGCAAAGCTCGGTCTTTTTTTTCCATTTTGTTTGGAAGGTATTTTAATGTTTTCAGTTCCTTTCGATTTTTCAATATTATTTGACATCGAGCATCACTGAAGATTTATTAAAATATTGAAATGCGCATATGGTGCAGTAAAATTGGTACAGTTCGAGTTATTGTACTTACCTTTCCAGATACTTTTATTCCTTTACACAAACAAAGAAATTCAATGAACCAAAATATAAATAGGCATAACAGGAGTTCTAATCTGATTTTCCCCATATCTTCTATCCCACTTGTGATCTGGAGTACATTATAGCTAAAATAAGAATTTACTGGTATGAAACATACAGAGTTATTCTCTCTCTCTCGCTCTCGCTCTCGCTCTCTCTCTTTCTCGATCTCGATGTAAAGTGTACTTGGTACACATATTATTCTATTCGGTTAAAGCTAGCGCTGATGGAAGTACCAAAAAATGATTTAAATAACCGATATTTAATTGTTTCTATATTATTTATTCTAAGATTTTATGAATTCTGGACGATTTAGGGCTTGACATATTGTATCTAAACTTGTTTATCGCTGAAGACCGTACACTGAGCTGCTAATTTGTCATTAAGGATGTTCGCTGCTCTTGTATTTGATTTTTTGTCAGATATTCGGAATCCTCTAGTTTTATCCATGTAGGTCCAAATATAAAAATGTTGCCCGCTAACCCCTAATTTTCTTTTCCTAATTTTATCACACATTGTTTAAAAAGCCATTTTTGATAATCTTATATATAATCCTTGTTATTTATTCATTGTTTTTGAAAGAAGAAATTGTCAATGTTAAATATATGAAAAATCTAGAGAGAATCAGTTCCCGCTTATATATCGAAAACAAGCACACGGACCCTCCATTTTTTCTGCTTTTTTAGTTCCTTTATTTCTATACTATCAATTTATAACAGTCTTTAAAAAAGCTTGATATTTTAAAGCAAGTTTTATCAACCAAAACAGGATCTGTTGGCAGCCGTTAGGACCTTAGGGACGAAATAAGAAAAAAAAATATGCAGGTTTAAAAGCTGCACAAATATAATTGAGAGGAGCAACAATTATAAATCAAAGTCTCATAATATATTACCAACTATTTTTCAACGATGCACATTGAAAATCCATTTAAGAATTTTCATTGAAATGCAGTTATGTAACTTTTATGCTTTGTCTACTTATAGACATTTTAAAAAGTTTTAAACCAACAAAATCCAAGGTAAATTTAAACAAAAGGAATTTCATAAAATCTGACAAAATCAAACTTAAAATTTATTTCAACCAATACATGGACAACTCTCTAATGGTTAAATGATAGGGTTAGACTGCAATCAAGATTATTTAAAACACCGATTTAGACACTATTCAAAATTATATGTTTAACGCATTGGCTCATTTTTGTTTGTGTAGGTTTTGTATTTCCTTGGAATGCCTTTTATTGTTTTTTTTTATCGAACATGTGACATTTCTTTTCCGATGGTTTATGCAGCTATTGAGATTTTCATCCTTGAAAATCGTAACGTTTATCAAAAAAGTTATCTTTCTCATATGTTGATTTCTGGTGGGAATATTTCTGACTTGCAGTCTAGTCACGTTTCATAATTTTTATACCGAGGTCATGTTGGCTGCAGACGTTACATTTAAGCAATGAGAGTTAGTTCAAAAAGAGCTTCTAACACACCAATCTGCAACGTTAGAATATTATCATAATGAACTAATATGAACATTATATTTTCTCACCTCCAGAATTCTTCGCTTGGTGACATTTTCAAATCACCTGTAATATTTCCGAAAATAGATGAAATATTACTGGTTGATGTGTTAGATGTTTGTGAAATATAGCAAAACTCTGTGTTCCACTCGTTGTCACACGTGCTCCATGGTAAAACAGTGGAAAGTGAATGGTACAGAAAGTACAAAACATATCCCATCATAACGTTGAAGTATATACAAAAAATGGCTGATACAGTCACCATTGCATATCCAAGACCTGAAAGTGAATGGTACAGAAAAGACAAAACATATCCCATCATAACGTTGAAATATATAAAAAATATGGCAGATTCATTCACCATTGCATATCCAAGACCTGAAAGTGAATGGTACAGAAAGTACAAAATATATCCCATCATAACGTTGAATTATATACAAAATAAGGCTGATACAGTCACCATTGCATATCTAAGACCTTTTACAGAAAAAATAAAGATGAATAAAAAACAAATATCAGAGGGACATCCAAAGTCATTAATCGAAAATAACCTGACAACGCCACGCCATGGCTAAAAAAGAAAAAAGACAAACAGACAAACAATTATAGTACACAAAACACAACACAGAAAATTAAAGACTAAGCAACACGAACCTAACCAAAAACTGGGGTTGGTCTCAGGTGCTCCGGAAGGGTAAGCAGATCCTGCTCCACATGCGGCACCCGTCGTGTTGCTTATGTTAGTACAAACCAGGTAACAAGTTTATCTTGATGTTTTGAATAAGTAAGACACCGATATGTAACAGCAAAATAAAAAGTACTTTGTGTCCTAATTCATTGAACTAAATCCTTCATTAGTATGATTATGAGCTAGACTCAAGCTAGCAGCCACTCGCTAGCAGCCATTCCGCTAGCAGCCAGTTTTTAGATATGTCTATTAACCCAAAAGTTGCATAAGATTCAAACTTACTAAAACGTTTATATTTTATGTAACCACAACAATATCTTTTTTAACGTGAATTTAGCAGTCGAAAACATAAATCAATGAATTTTGAAATTTCATTTCCTCTTCAATATTTTAAAAACAATATTTTGTGCTTTCAACATCGTGCTGCACGCTTTAAAACTTAAACTGTCAACACTGACAAAAAGAAATTATTTAAATATGGCCAAATTTTCTTGTTTCATTGTATCGACTTTTCCATCAGAAAAATTTGGTCGATATTGTGTGAAATAGCTTTCCATATTCTCGGCATCCTGTAAAATAGTTCCTAAAAAGTAACAATATTTCTACGCTACAAGATTTCAAAGTTGCGTTCGTACTTTAATACTTTCATGTCAGCCAAATCTGTTTTAGCGAATCATTCTCTTTCTATAACAATAGGTTTCGCTTAGTTTTGATGATACGCAGGGATTATTTTAAGTAATCAAAGTATGGCACTAATTAGCTATATTACCAATTGTAAAAAAAATCCGTGCTATACCCCACCTGGAAATTTTAGTTAAGCATGACTAAGGGTCCCAACTTTCATTTGCACCTAGTGTGGAAAAAAGTATTGCCGTAGGAAAATGTTTATTAACTTTGAAAGTTAGGGTAGGGTAGGGTGTCGGACCCCAACTTTGGACCAATTTAAAAAAAAATCCGTGCTATACCCCACCTGGAAATTTTAGTTAAGCATGCCTAAGGGTCCCAACTTTCATTTGCACCTAGTGTGGAAAAAAGTATTGCCGTAGGAAAATTTTTATTAACTTTGAAAGTTAGGGTAGGGTAGGGTGTCGGACCCCAACTTTGGACCAATTTTTAAAAAAATCCATGCTATACCCCACCTGGAAATTTTAGTTAAGCATGCCTAAGGGTCCCAACTTTCATTTGCACCTAGTGTGGAAAAAAGTATTGCCGTAGGAAAATGTTTATTAACTTCGAAAGTTAGGGTAGGGTAGGGTGTCGGACCCCAACTTTGGACCTATTCAAAAAAATCTAAGAGATACTACACCCTGGATGTTCTTTCTCAAGCAGACCTAAGTTCCCCAACTTTCGTTTGTACCTAGTATGGGAAAAAGGACTTTGATGAGGTTAACCACTTTTTTGTCATCGTCGGTTTTACGTGATCGCTCAGATTCAGTCGTATGTGTCAATTGAACAATCACCCTGTCGAGGTATTTGGGTTTTTTTACCCATCGAGAACATGCTTTCAACAAGCTCATAAATCATCTTTTCATTTTGATAAAGTTAATGAACATATTTTATAGGAGTAACACGACGGGTGTCACATGTGGAGCAGGATTTGCTTACCCTTTAAAAATATCCTTTTGGCATCTTTCGCCTCTCTTTTGATCACAAAGTGAGCAGACCCTAACCTAGCAAAGAGAATACTGTAATAAAAAAGGATGACTGCGAATGTAACGGTGCCGGATCAAGGAACCTTCCAAGATTTTAAAAACCATATGAGATAAATGAAAGTTCCAATCATAGTGTACGGAAAGTGTTTAGAGAAATTTTCCCTTGATCCGGATGAATTCCAACTTAGGGCTTGCTATATCAAACGAATTACAGTAGAAACGACTACCAAGTAAACATGAATACGCGACTACCTAGCCAGCCTCAATGATACATGTGTATTCCGTTACTTGCAGTAAGAGTTTTTCTTATGATACTGGACTGCGGTAAAACTCGGATTGCAAAATATAAGCTGGAAAAATTAGACACACACTTTAATTTGCTAAGACCACATGTATGAGATTTACACGAAGAATGGTCACCAAATTTTACTGGCATTTACTTTGTTGAAAACTACATACCTCGGCTGAGGTTTGGATAAATGTACCATCTTTTGTGTTCAATGGATTAATTTTTTCGCAAAGAATATATATCACGCAACAGACTGCCTTGATTAATCAATGGTGTTCCCAGAAAGTAAAAAGTAATTGATTGTGACATCACTTTTCCTTATAAGGAAGTCGATGGAGATATGATAGCAAAAGAAATGTTACCTAATGATTGTCCACTGGCTCCACAATCTTTGTAAATGAACGGAGTCAAATCAAGAACCAGTAGCTAATCTTCAGAACAAGACAATATATGTGGTGTATCATGTGCACTTAAAGAGATATCTAGCCACGGGGTTGAAACTTATGAATCTACATAAAGTTATCATGTTCAACCAAAGCCCACGGTTGAAACCTTACATTGACAAGAAAACGAAACTCCGAGCCGAACATATGGCAACATTTAAAAAAGAATTCAATAGGATGATGAAATTGTTTGCAAAAGCATTGAAAATATCCGGAACCGTGTTGGTATCCGTAACAACACGAAAGCTTTAATACTAGCAATCATCCCCGAATTCAAGAAACGGACTATATTTAATTATTTAATGGCTGTAATCCACAGGACACGAACCAAGCTGGTATTTGACAAACCAATCTACCTACGTTTGGAAATTTTGGAACTGCTAAAAACACTGATGACTGATTATGAATAAGACTACCTAAAAACCAAATACGGAACGCGAGCCACGGTCTGCTTCACACAAATACTAAATCTCGTTTGCAATATTCAGACCAGAGACATTTACAAATACATATATAAACATGTGCTCAGTGGTACGAGATCTCCAATTACCCGACTGACCATAAATCTAAAGTTTAGACTGAGGTCAACAAGAAAGTTCTTGGAATCTTTAACGAGCCGGCTGGCCAATCTAAGATATTCTCCACGTTGCCCATTGTACAAGAGATAAAGGTAGATATTGCCTCTAATATGGCCAATAGCACTTATGCACTAGACCCGTACGAACTTGTCACATTAGTGTGAGGGGTACCTGGTGTGTAACATACTAGTAGTCCAATAACTATTGCCGATTGTCCAAACTTCGATATTCTCCTTGTTGGCCATAGTACCAGAGGTAGAGGGAGACATTACCTCTAAATGGACTTTAGCACTTATACTCTAGACCCGTTGCTTATTCTCCTTCGATATATCATTGGATTTTTGATATTTATCTTTCTGGTACAGCGCTCAAAAATCTTATTCAAGTTTATTCACAAAGATCTTGGCCACTGCATTGTACAATGTGTATAACAAAGTGGTTCTCTTGTTAACACCCTGTCGTCATAGCACTTAATGATATAGCAAATTCCGGGCGGTGTGTGCTTCTGGTAGGGTTTGATGTCTGGTTTGCAGTCATTCTTTTGGCACCAGTGACTCATAATTTCTGCGGCTGAGATCTCTTTCTGTTCATTGATTTATTTTACAAAGTCTTTGGCTTGATTTCTCTTCGACCCCTGACAATTTTTTGACTTGACGTCTTCAGTGTAGTGGCGATGAAGACATATAAAATATACAGCCGCAAGTCAACCATTTAATAACATCTTATTTTGACTTCCGCCCAAGACGACGTACCGACGTCAACAAACGAAAGTACAATAAAAGAGGAACGTAGTTCGCGCTATTTTCGCGACATTATCCGGGCACGCAAAGAAAATAAATACAGTTATATAAAAATAAAATAATTTCCAGTTACCAATTAATGACTTTAAATCAAATAATTCTCAAAACATGTCCATGGTTACGGCAGAAAGTGAAATTAACTTTAAACTGTCAATATTTGATTTCACTGAATTTAACTTTAACTTTCACAAATTATTGTCCGTGTATCCACTTGTGAATTCTTTCATTCGCTCGTACTGATGCTTCTGTCAATCTGCTTTTCGGCAATGGTGGCGGGTCAGTTTCTCTGTGTGGTTTCCCGCTAACTTTTCGGGAAGTTTGTGTAGAACCTTCATCGCGTACTGGCGTACTGGCGATTGCATAGATCCTAATATGTTTATCTTATCTGAGTTACTGTAGCTAGTACTCCAGAATGTTTCAATGTTTCATGTACATCCAGTACAACTAATGGAGTAAGTGGGGATCTATAGGTAATAAATAAGGGAATCTAGCAGTCTCTGTCAGTGGTTCGTTGTGAATCCTACCACCGCAACGAATAGTTCCATTTAAATAAAAAAATAATCTTAACTGTTTCACGAGTGACAATCTTTTGCTGGTCTGTGACTTCAAGTTGTTGTAGTTCACTAGTATCAAGCAGCTGGTCGGTTTTTCTTTGTGATTTTGGAATTTTACAGTTGTCTACAAATCTCAGAATAAAGGCGGTCACTCGGATCGTTTTGTATAAGGTGCTGTACCGAGTAATGTTCATAATAATATCAATTCCTGTTTTCTTTAGACTGTTCCTTTCTTCTGTTGGTGTGTTGTCCTTGTTGTCGTGTTCTAGGAAGGA